ATTGTAACAAAAGTCTTTCGAATAAGCTCCAAAAGTTGCAAAACCGGGCTGCCCGTATTCTAACCTTCTCCAGTTATGACACAAGCGCTGATCCTCTTCTTGAGCAACTCAACTGGAAACGGTTGGATACTCAGCGACAAATACAAGTGGCCACCATGGTCTATAAATCTATACATGGTCTTGCGCCCGACTATCTTGGTTCTCTTTTCACTAAATATAATCCACCTTATAATTTAAGGAACTCTGAAAACAAACTAGCTGTTCCATTGCCCCGCACCAATTTCTTGAAAAATAGCTTTAGCTATAATGGTGCGGTTATCTGGAACAGCTTGTCCCCTGAACTGCGGCAAGCAAAATCACTTAAATCTTTTCGAAATGGTTGTCGCGATTTCTTTGACTGAATCGATAAAACGCACACGGCATCTATGTAAAGCAGAATTTCTTTATTTTCTCTATTTTTACTATTTAAATTTTTAGATCATGTTTATATAGATTAAAGTAGATTGTAATTTCTTTATTATTATTATTTTATCTGATAGATTTACCGTGTTTAAATAAAAATAAATAAATAAATAAATAATAATAATAACACTGTTGCCCAGGGTGCTGCGGAGGTAAGTTTTCAAACTGTGCAACGCACTGAATGATCGTTGTGCAGAACATAATGTAGCAGGTATCACTCCAAGCATATGTACCACATTAGAAAACACTGGAAACATATCAAATTGATCATTCTCGTGCATTGTCTCTAGCATTTCTGGAACGGTCATGTAGCCTAATCCGCGCACACGACGAAAACTCGCGTACATTTTCTCCTCAGCTTCGAGAATCTCGCCGTCGATTTTGTAAAATTTAGCAACGCGGGAGAAGCTTTCTTTATCAAGTATTTCGCTGTGACAGATGTTTCCCAAAGCGCAGAGTATTTCCTGATCATTTCCGCTAAACCTGAGCTCAAGCTTGGAGAGCACCTTCTCGATGGACGAAACTAGACTCTTGTTAAGTACGTCTCCGAAACAGCGCTGAAATCCTTGTTGATTGGCCTTTTATAAAAGCCATTGTCGATTTACCAATCAGGATTAAAGGAAATTTTCCGTTGAGTCCGTTGGTGACCCAGAACAAGGATATCGGCGCTGCTTCGCTGACCTTACTAACGGAGGTTAAATTACTTCTGACGCAGACTATGCGGTGGTGCGATTCCGGTGTCAGCTGCGTTTGTCTTTGCGCGTGTTCACCTACAAGGGCTTGAAGGCGACTCGATGGCTGAGAGACCTGGCTTCTTGTAATTCAAACTGAGAATTGGTCAGCCATTTCTTCATTTTCAGACCCATTGCTGATGCTATCTGCCATACGCTCTTGAAACTTTCTTCACTCCGACACCAGCCGAAGGTCTGAATGGTTATGTCGAGTAGAGTTAATTCTAAAAAGTTATGCGGGAGTTGATTCTAATCAATTAGCGACTGGAATTACACAGTGGGCACAGTGGCCAACAATTGAAAAAACTACAAATATCTAAATCAACATGATACCCGTCACTAATTACCAGAAACTCAAGACGTGCTAGCCAACCACTGTCTCTTGTGAATTTAACTGGATTTACCACGCCGACTTCAGGTTAAAATCGAAAACATCCTATCTCTTCGAAATAATAAAAAGATGTAGAAACTTCGTTAAAAACTGACTTTGCCCAAATTTCCCTTGCTGCCCAAAAAATCTGAGTTGCCCAAAATTTTTGAGAGGCTGTTGCCCCAGCCCGTGTGCCTATGGCTTTGCCTCTAAGACAGGACTGCAATTATACTCTCTTAATATATTATCTCCGTTCACTGCTATAATAGGCTATGGCTCTTCTTTAATTACACATCTTTACTTTCAGAAATCTATACTGAGTCATGGTTTTCCAGGCATTCCAGGGTCAAATGGCATGCCGGGAATGCCGGGCGTGCCCGGGCCGCAGGGACCCCAGGGAAGAGAAGGTCCAAAAGGACAAATTGGTGATGAGGGATCGCCAGGAGTGCAGGGTCCAAGAGGAGACAGAGGACGCGAGGGGCCTCCCGGGAAGAGCGGACCGCCAGGAATTATGGGAACAAAAGGTGAATCGGGGCTTGTGGGAATGAAAGGAGAGCCAGGCATTGTGAGAAATCAAGGAAGAAAAGGAGACAAAGGAGAGAAAGGAGAAAGCGCCAAAGCAAGTCAAGCAGGTTTAGTGCTACAAACCAACTGGAAACAATGTGTCTGGAAATCAGCCAGCAGTACTAACAACGGAAAGATTAAGGTAAACAAGAATCGCGCTAAAAGCTAAACACGAACTATTTATAAGTACCACAGATGATGTTTATAGGTGGAAAGAGGTCGAAAATCCTTTTTCTGAGATAAAGTTAAAGCACAACTATGATACCAACCTTATTGCCTCAGCCTTCATCCCCAATCAACCTTTCTCCAGTTGGCATTAATTTTTGTGTTATTTAGCATTATTAGAGTTGCAGACATTTTAATCGTTTTTTTTTTTTTTTTCAGGACTGTGCTTTTAACAAGTTGAAGTCGGATACTGCGCTCAAAGTCTCATTCCAGGGAGTCATGAGGGTCGTAGGTGATGATAAGTGCAATCGCTGGTATTTCAAGTTCAATGGAAACGAATGCAGTGGACCAATGACGATTGAGGCTATTGTTTACAACGACTGGCCATCTGGGAACCCTAAAGTAGTAGGGCTTCAGCAAAGATAAGCCTCGTTGGTGGATTCCCTTTGGATTCCCTCGCAGAAAGTGGATTCCCTTAATTAATAGGCATATGGGTCTAGTCAATGACGTCATCTATTGTGATAACCTAGGG